TATATATATATATATATATATATATATATATATATATATACATATATGCATATATGTTTGTATATTAAAATAAACTACTTACTACTTGTACTACTATTGCTACTTGATGGTTTTTCACTTATCGCGGGTCTTCAGGGTACGGATCTCCTGTGATAAACGAGGGACTACTGTACCAACAAACATGGCGGCGTGTCCTTCACAGAGAGAGTTTGTAAAGTTTGTGCATCCCCGGCTCATTGTGTCCAAGCGACCTTTGACCCCTGCCGTTTCTGGCCCGGCACTAGGAGCAGGTGTTCAGGTTCAGGCACTGAGGTGGGTTGGATAAAAGGAAACTCGATCCAGAAATAGAACTTCAAGCAGTAAACAAACAAACAGATTGTCTTTGTTTACATCAGAGGTCCTTCAGCTGACCTCTGACCTCTACACGTACTCCTGCAGCGGGACGGCGTTAGAGGCGATGGGTTTGGGGGGATCCGGTGCCGGCGAGTTGGCGAAGCTCCGGCCGATGTAGCCGCGGCGGTAGCGGGCGCCCCGCTCCATCAGGGGGCAGGTGCTGCTCAGCACGGCGCCGCTGATCATCAGGATGACGGCAGCGGCCCAGCCCAGGTAGATGGCCTGGCCCAGCTCTCGTTTGTGCATGACGGGCACGTTGGGGTTGTAGAAGTCCTGGACCACGGTGTTGGCGGTCCAGGAGACGGGGATCAGAACGCACAGGCCCGTGAGGATGAAGAGAATCCCCCCGGCCAGCGCGATGCCCGCCTTGGCGCGGCGGTCGTCGCCGGCGCAGGTGGTGCACTTCATGCCGCAGCAGGACACGGTGCAGGACAGCCAGCCCAGGAAGATGGCGAGGCACATGAGGGCGCGGGCGGCCTGCACGTCGGGCGGCAGCGCCAGCATGGAGTCGTACGTCTTGCACTGCATGTGGCCCGTGGTCTGGTACACGCAGTTCATCCAGATGCCCTCCCACTTCATCTCCGAGGTCAGGATGTTGGTCCCGATGAAGGCCGACACCTTCCACTGAGGCAGCGCCGTCACGGCGATGGCCATGATCCAGCCCGTCACGGCGCAGGTGAAGCTGATCAGCTGCATGCCCGTGTTCACCATGGCTGCCGCAGGTTCTGGACGGTTCTGCCTCCTGGACTTGGATCAGTCAGATGTGGTTCTGGTTGGCGTGTCGGCGGTTTCCTACGACGTGGAGGTCAGAGAGCCGGCAGCCGTGTTCGTTGTCTCCTGAGTTCTGACCTCATCAGGTTCTGCTTCAGACCCGCTCCTCCTCACAGAACCAGCAACTCTTCGTTTCATTCCAGGTTTGGACCTCAAGCATTATGGATCAGATGAGTGGTGACCTTTGACCTGCAGTTTGGACTCAATCGGCAGCTGATCAGAACCGATCGAACATTGGCAGTCTGCTCCTTCGTGGTCCGGTTCAGACCTGCTGCTGGTTCTGGTGTCACCGTCCTGGTCCGGTGTAGCCTTACTGAGATGTGATCCGGCCCGGTGACGTCGCAGCAGGTGGATCGTCCTCACGCTGACGGAAACACCAAACTCTGCTTTTAGTGCATGAAAAGAACGGATCAGAACCATGTGATGCGTCTACGACCCGTTCAGTGAACAGAACCGCCGGGGCTGCTGCAGGATCAAGGCCCCTCCCCCTGCTGAACGGCCCAAATGGGTCAGTCGGGTTCTGAGAAAGGTTTCAATTAAAAATCTGAGCCGTGCGGTCAGAACTGCAGGTCCAACTGCAGCGGAACCGCTCAGACGGGTCAGGAGAGCCAACAAAAGGAGGGAGGACCCGCCAACACAGGGGGGTGGGGTCCTACCCCCTCTGAGTCCACCAACACCGAACCAGAACCAGCAGTGAACCGGGTCCACCAACACATTTGTCTGCAGATGGGTCAGTTTGGTTCTGAACAAATGGGCCTGAGTTCTGGTCGATCCATGAATTAAATATCAGATCTGCTGCTCGGGTTTCGTCCCCGTTGCCTGGGGTCGCCGTGGTAACTGCCGTCATGACAACCAGACGGGAAACAGGAGCAGCCGCCGCTCCAGAACCGAACCGAACTCGAGCGGTCCGTCAGAGGAGTGGGGACCTGTTGGACGTAAAGATGGACAGAGGTTCCCCAGTCTGAGACCAGTGGAAGCCTTTCAAAATAAAGGTCCTACATTAAAGACTACAGTTTAAAGGAACTGGTTTTATTTGATCAATCTGTTTTAGAAATGCATTAATTTTAAATTTGACTGAAGTTTAAAGTTAAAACTTGATGATTCTGATCTTTTATAAACACGTGTGAATAAATAACGTGATTTTTGTTCTGCAGTTTTCACAAACAATGTTTATATCGTCACTTTAAATGATTTACAAAAACCTTTCATATCAGATTATCTGCTGCTTTTACTAAAACTGTTTTATTTAATTATAAAATGCTATGACCATGAGGACATTATTAATAAGTGGTATAATTATGACATCACACGACATTTAAAATAAAACAAGCAGACTTCAGGGCATAAAATACCAATTTATTATTATTTGCACATGAACACAAGATTTCCCTGCAGGCTAAAAAACGAACTTGTCACAGAATAACAACAATATTAAGAATAAGAACACAAGAATGGCCCTTGGAGGCGGGGCTAAAGCAAGCCCAGCCCTTTTCCAACGTGGATCGTATCAAAACAGCTGACCTCGGGAGTGGACTGTTTTGCCCCCCCCCCCCAACGATTCAAAGGTTAAAACAAAATGACATCCAGAATTGATAAAAAAAATTTGTGTCTCCTGAAACCGTCAGGGAGCCGAACACACATCCGAGGAGGTCGTCCTGCGCCGCAGGGGTTTGGGGGGGGGGTGTCAACCAGGAAGGGAAGGAGAACTGGGCAGGGCCAAACACCGGGCCCAGAGGAGTGGGGGGGGGGGGGGGCGCCTCTTAAACGAGCCCACGTTTGAACAAAGTACCTCGTTTGGATTTGAACACGGTGCAGAGCCGCCCCCCCCCACCAAGTGATTGAGGAGCCTTTAAAACAGACGGACACATCTCTAGACTAAACATTTACCCCGAAACGTTTAAATCTTTATTTCTGATAATAAATATGATTCAAAAAGATTTGTTTGTCTTTAAAAGTCAGGCATGCAGGTGAGCAATGTCAACAGGAAGTGAAGAGCCAACACGTGCACGCCCCCCCATGATTGACACGAGCAAAGGAAGTCACATGAAGAACAGAGCGGAGCCGCTAACAGCTGTTGGCTTTGATCATGGTTAATATTGCTTCGTGATTGATCAATCATCACTGATCTGCCCCCCTTTCAAAATAAAACTTATTGCCTGCAGTGGTGGTTTCCTGCCGCCGCCGCGCCCAACGCCAGCGTGCACGTCTTAACAGGAAGGAGCTCAAACTCATTCATAGTAAACCTGCAGCTTTACGGGTGGTTTATTACAAAAGGGTTTCCACTGAGCTGCCCCCCCGACGAGGCGTGCACACTGACCGTCCCCCCCTCCCACACCGTCCTGCAGCAACCCCTCCCATCAGCAGGGGGCTCCACCCACCAGTCCTGCAGCAACCCCTCCTACCAGCAGGGGGCTCCACCCACCACAGTCCTGCAGTAACCCCTCCCCCCAGCAGGGGGCTCCACCCACCACAGTCCTGCAGCAACCCCTCCTACCAGCAGGGGGCTCTACCCACCACAGTCCTGCAGTAACCCCTCCCCCCAGCAGGGGGCTCCGCCCACCACAGTCCTGCAGTAACCCCTCCCCCCAGCAGAGGGCTCCACCCACCACAGTCCTGCAGTAACCCCTCCCCCCAGCGGGGGGCTCCACCCTCCATAGTGCTCGTTTAATCCAGTGTCTAAGAAAAAACAAAATATTCAAAGAGTTTGACGGGTTTACTTCAAAAATACAAAGTTATAGAAACTGTTTTTTTAGAAATGTCTTAACTCCGCCCACAAGTCCTGATTGTCTCCATGGATCAGAAGCAGCTACACCAGAACCAATCAGCTGAGAGGAAGCATGACCCCATCCTCTCGCCACCACCCGCAATGCTACAAATCAAACCCCGCCCGACGCTTCTTCAACTGGGAACTGTACAAGTGGCTCTGCGGCCAGCCTTAAAACTTTATCACAACATGGACAACAATAAACAACAACAACATCAAAGGTAAACTACGAGCTCTAAACAACAGCTTGAAAAGAACCACAACACGTTTTATATTAAACCTTTAAAATCTGCTTTGTTCAACGGAGAAATGCATAAAGATCGAGAGGGAGCCCTCTCCTTCAGAACGGACCGGGTCAGAACCCAACGAGTCCACTTCCTCAGTCAGGTCCAAACAAGACTGGGATTAACGGTCCGACGAGGACTCCACTGCTACACACCAGACCAGGTTCTGACCGCTCCAAGTCTGGACTCCCTACAGACCCCAGGAGGTCCTTCCCCCCCCATGTAGCTATATGTTTTCTTTAAGTGTGAATATAAAAACAACTCATCTGAGGCATTTACAGCAGTTATTTCCTCCATTTCCCTTTAGCATGGAGCACACACGCACACACACGCACACACACACATGCACACACACATGCACACACAGAGATGGAAGGAAAGCTTGTTGGACATCTCGGTCACCTCGTTTGTAAAAGTCCAAAGAAGAAAACGTTAAAAGACGCTGATAAAAAGGACAATATTTATATATCATTGTTAAAAGGTCGGGGACCCCCCCCGGACAGATTTGGCCCCGCGGGGCTTTGAGGTAAAGTAGATCAGAGTCCTGCTGAGCTGGACGAGGCGCTCCTCGGCTCCAAGTTAAAAACATGACAGACATTCAGAGGAAAACAACAACAAACATGGCTCCACGTGTGTTTGTTTGTTTGTTTGTTTGTTTGTGTGTGTGTTTGTTTGTGTTTGTTTGTTTGTGCATCGGGGCCCGCAGTGCTCGGTTGCTGGTTGAGAAGGCGGCTGGATCCGGCTGAAGCGCCTCGGTGCACAGAACGAGGACAGAGGAGCAGGAAGTGAGGAGCCTGGCGTCGGCTCAGGCGAAGTACATGGTGTGCTGCGTGTCGTAGTGGATCTGAACCGCCTTGGCCAGTGCCTGGGGGTCCCGGCCGTTACTCTGACCCGACACGTGGCTGCCTTCGGCGCTGCAACAGAGACAGAGGACATGCCATGAGACCGCGGCGTGCAGGAAGTCCAGACTGTGTCAGAGGACCCAGACCCAGCTCACCTGTCGTGGTCTTTGTCCACCAGGTGGTACCGGGCTCGGAACGCCACCAGTCGGGCGTAGTAGGCCGGCGCCGGGATGGAGACGGAGCGCGTGCAGCGCACGTAGGTGTGGCACAGCTGGTAGGTGAGCAGCTGCAGCTCATCGGCCGTGAAGCAGTTGTCGTCCCACAGGACGTGGTAATGGGAGGGACGACTGGTCCCCTGGTGGGAGGAGACACGTCTTACATTCAGAGGACAACGTTGTCTTTTGGTTTACATTTGTAGAACACCTGAGAAAGAGTTCACCTTGACAAACATCATTCAGTGTTTTGTGTTTGAAACTGTTAAGATTCGTCTGTTTCATTCTGAACAAACATTTTTATAAATAACTCTCAGCTCACACAAGTTGACACTAAAGTCATAAACCTGTTCTCCTGTTAACGGTTAAACCTCACCTGTTCATCTGTTCACGGTTAAACCTCACCTGACAATATGAACTCAACAACCCGAGGCTTCTGGTTGAACTGAGCTTTTCTTCAACTGACCTCGTTACGTTGATGTCTTGCCTCATCAAAAAGATATACTCCCAGATGTTCGTTCCCATGACAACAACAAGACATGGACGGTGCGACAGCGCCTCTTTAGTCTGCATGTTATCTGAATATTAATTCAAAGACGTCATTTCTGTTTCATCCATACCTGAATGTTTATTCATTTCTCTTCTCTGCTAGAAGGAAACTTCTGAGGTACAAAAAGGACTTTAGGTTCAAGAAAATCAAGGCAAAGCGTTAGAACCACCTCTTCCTGGACCAGTCCTTTCTGTTGTAGCAGACAGTGTTTCACTTCTTCACACTTGACCTCAGAAAGCTGCACCTTCTGCAGACGTCTCAAGACGAGACACAAAGAAACGATGGAGTTCACAGGACCCATCATTTAAACCAGAACCCAGGGCTCCGAGAGTTGTCTGCCAGGTGACCAGAATCCCACAGAAGACTGGTAAATCCCAGCTGACTGCCAGAACCAGCAGTGTTTCCCCTACCATTATACAAGCTTCCAGCTCATGAAACTCACGAAAACAGGATAAAAAAAATTAGAATACAGTGGAAACATCAGGCCAAATGTTGCAGGACATGAATGTTTTAAACTGTGTGTGACACTAATCATCTACTAAACTCAAAGCACCTGCACAGGTTTCCCCAGGTGTCATTAACTTGTCTCGGTTTGGTTCAGTATGGTGAAGACTGCAGACAGAACATCTGTCCAGAA